CCCCCCCCCCCCGGTGCCGGTGCCGCAGGTGACGGCGGAAGCTCGCTGCAAGCTGGTGAGCTGGCTCATCCCCGTCCACCGGCACTTCGGGCTCTCCTTCGAGGCGCTCTGCCTGGCCGTCAACACCCTCGACCGCTTCCTCGCCACCACCCCTGTGGCCGCCGACTGCTTCCAGCTCCTGGGGGTGACGGCGCTGCTCATCGCCTGCAAGCAGGTAGGGGCGGACACCGGCTGCCCCCCCGCCCTCCTCGGCCACCCCGAGGGGCTTCGGCAACAGCTCTGCCCCGAGCCGGGCCGGGCTCCGCAGCCTTCCCCCTCCCCTTCTCCGCGCTGCTCCCCGGGCTGCAGCATCCCTCCCTCTGTCCCCACTCCTGGCTGCAGCATCCCCTCCTCTGTCCCCCCCGGGCTGCAGCATCCCCTCCCCTGTCCCCTCTCCCCCGGCTGCAGCATCCCCTCCTCTGTCGTTCCCCCCCCGGCAGGTGGAGGTGCACCCCCCCAGCGTGAAGGAGCTCCTCGCCCTCTGCTGCGGCGCCTTCAGCCGCCAGCAGCTCCGCAACCTGGAGTGCATCGTCCTGCACCGCCTGGGCTTCGAGCTGGCCGCCCCCACCGTCAGCTTCTTCCTGGAGCACTTCAGCCGGGTGCGGCTGCTGGCGGGGGGCGCGGACGCGGGGGAGGCGGCCTCTGTCCCCCTCTCCCTCGGCTTCAGCATCCCCTCCTCTGTCCCCCTCCCGGCTGCAGCATCCCCTCCTCTGTCCCCCCCGGGCTGCAGCATCCCCTCCCCTGTCCCCTCTCCCCCGGCTGCAGCATCCCCTCCTCTGTCGTTCCCCCCCCGGCAGGTGGAGGTGCACCCCCCCAGCGTGAAGGAGCTCCTCGCCCTCTGCTGCGGCGCCTTCAGCCGCCAGCAGCTCCGCAACCTGGAGTGCATCGTCCTGCACCGCCTGGGCTTCGAGCTGGCCGCCCCCACCGTCAGCTTCTTCCTGGAGCACTTCAGCCGGGTGCGGCTGCTGGCGGGGGGCGCGGACGCGGGGGAGGCGGCGGCTGCCCGCAGCCTGGCCGGGGGGGTGGCCGAGCTCAGCCTGGCCGACTACGCTTTCACCAGGTACACCCCTTCCCTGCTGGCCGCCGGCAGCCTGGGGCTGGCGGACCGGCTGTTGGGCCACCGCAAGCCCCTGGACCTGCGGATCAGCGGCTACCCGGAGGGGCTGCTGCGGGACTGCATGGACCAGCTGCAGCTCCTGGTGTCCCTGAACGGACAGTCCCTGCCGCTCCTCCTGCCCCCCGAGGTGGTGGAGAAGTGCCCCTGGCTGCGGGGAGCTGGGGCCACCGAGGCCTCGGCCCTGGGCTGAGACAGCTCTTGGTGCTGCCCGCAGCCCACCCAGAGCCCCATCCAACAAGCCTTAGTGTTACTTCTGTAAAGGTTCAACAGATCACATTTTGAACATGAGGCTACCGTATGTCCGTTGCACTGTCCCTTTCCTGCTTTGTTTTGGTTTTTGTTTTGTTTTTAAATCCATCATGTACATAATATACAGAATCTCAAGTACTGTATTATTTATTGGGAGGATGGTCCATAAGGATGACGGCGGAAAAGACCAAATAAACATTGAATAAACTCTTTCACTGAATTTCACTGAATTTCACTGAATTTTAGAGTTGGAAGGGACCATAGAGATCATCTAGTCCAACTCCCCTGCTAAAGCAGGATTGCCCAGAGCTTGTCAGAGCCTGTTACTCAGGACTGCATCCAGGCGGGGCTTGAAAATCTCCAGAGAAGGGGACTCCACAACCTCCCTGGGCAGCCTGTTCCAGGGCTCTGTCACCCTCACCATGAAGAAGTTTCTCCTCTTTTCTACCTGTCACCTGCACTGGTTTATTTGCTGGCGGTGCTGTGGGTGTGCACAGACGGGGGAAGAAACACACCAGCACAGAACGAGTTCACCCCAACAGCTACTCCTGCCCCCCTGAAATTATTGTGCCCGATGGTGTCATTCCCCATTTCAAACTGACAAGCGGTGGCTTGGTCATAGCACGGGGAAAAAAAAAAAAAATTATTTGATTTATAAATTTAGATGCACTGACCGAAGTGCAGGGAAGCAAAACCTTAAATAGTAAAGCATCTGGTTATTATTTTTCCAGGAGGTCTGTAATCCAGGTGCATACTCCGAACTGAGTTGGCACTGGGGACGAAAACAGTCATGAAGTTGTAAAATATCTTATTTTCTTCGTGCTATTGCCTGTGCATCTGCACAGAAGCGATGTGAAATGGGCACACACGTGTCTCAAGTTTCCCTGGGGAGTGCTTGCCACCCGGGGCAGCGGGTGTACCCCGCTGGGAGCCCTGCCTGCCCCCAGAGCCAGCAGAACTCGCCCAAAACGCTGCGTCGGGAAAGACCCACAAGCCCATCGCGGGAGGCGGACGGCCAGTTTTAACCTCCGCCAGCCCCGACGGGCATTTCGGCTGGGCTCGGTGGAGCAGCCACGGGAGAACCGTCTGCCCGTGGGGAAACCCTATACCGGTGGGGGAACCTTCTCCTGGTGGGGTGAACCCTCTACCAGTGGGGGAACCTTCTCCTGGTGGGGTGAATCCTCTCCCGATGGGGACCCTTTCCTGGTGGGGGAACCTTCTCCCAGTGGGGTGAACCCTCTCCCGGCGGGGGGCCCTCTCCTGGTGGGGTGAACCCTCTACCAGTGAGAGAACCTTCTCCTGGTGGGGTGAACCCTCTACCAATGAGGGAACCTTCTCCTAGTGGAGTGAACCCTCTCCCGATGGGGGACCCTGTCCCAGTGGGGAAATCTCTCCCGGTGGGTGACACTCTCCCGGTGGGAGAACCTTCTCCCAGTGGGGTGAACCTTCTCCCTGTGGGGACCCTTTCCCAGTGGGGGAACCTTCTCCCAGTGGGGTGAACCTTCTCCCTGTGGGGGGCCCTCTCCCGGTGGGGTGAACCCTCTACCGATGAGGGAACCTTCTCCCGGTGGGGGACCCTCTCCTGGTGGAGGACACTCTTCCGATGGGGGAACCTTCTCCCAGTGGGGTGAACCCTCTCCCGGCGGGGGGCCCTCTCCTGGTGGGGTGAACCCTCTACCAGTGAGAGAACCTTCTCCTGGTGGGGTGAACCCTCTACCAATGAGGGAACCTTCTCCTAGTGGAGTGAACCCTCTCCCGATGGGGGACCCTGTCCCAGTGGGGAAATCTCTCCCGGTGGGTGACACTCTCCCGGTGGGAGAACCTTCTCCCAGTGGGGTGAACCTTCTCCCTGTGGGGACCCTTTCCCAGTGGGGGAACCTTCTCCCAGTGGGGTGAACCTTCTCCCTGTGGGGGGCCCTCTCCCGGTGGGGTGAACCCTCTACCGATGAGGGAACCTTCTCCCGGTGGGGGACCCTCTCCTGGTGGAGGACACTCTTCCGATGGGGGAACCTTCTCCCAGTGGGGTGAACCCTCTCCCGGTGGGGTGAACCCTCTCCCGGTGGGCACCGTCTTGCAGCGGGGGAACTTTCTTCTGGTGGGGGAACCTTCTCCCGGTGGGGGGCCTCTCGCAGTGGGGTGAACCCTCTGCCGGTGGGGACCCTTTGCCGGTGGGGAAATCTCCCCCGGTGGGAGACCCTCTCCCCTTGGGGTGAACCCTCTCCCGGTGGGGAGCTCAGTAAAGCCAAGACGCTGCGGGCTGGTTTCTTTTCTTATTTTCCTGCCCCCCCCCCCGCCTGGGGTGAACCCTCTCCCGGTGGGCACCGTCTTGCAGCGGGGGAACTTTCTTCTGGTGGGGGAACCTTCTCCCGGTGGGGGGCCTCTCGCAGTGGGGTGAACCCTCTGCCGGTGGGGACCCTTTGCCGGTGGGGAAATCTCCCCCGGTGGGAGACCCTCTCCCCTTGGGGTGAACCCTCTCCCGGTGGGGAGCTCAGTAAAGCCAAGACGCTGCGGGCTGGTTTCTTTTCTTATTTTCCTGCCCCCCCCCCCGCCCCTTATGCTGTCGGCGCTGCCGGCGCCGGCCCTAACATTTAACAAATATCCTTACAAAAACCAGCCGCCCCGCGTGCTGACGCCCACCGGCGGGGGGGTGTCGGGGCGGAGTGCCCCGGGCAGCGGGGCCGGACGCGCCTCCCCTCGGGTTTCCGTGCGGGGCAGCCCCCTCGGCCCGCCCCGGTTCCGCGGGCGCGGGGAAGGGCTCGGCGGGCGCGGGAG